AACCGCACATCCGGCATATACCTTCCGCACCAAGGCACAACAGGAGGCTCGCGCCCACCGTCATCCAGTGTCGAGTTGGATGCAAAGATTTTTGCCAAAAGTTGAGCCTTATCCCTTGCGTTATGAGCCAACGAATCCTCACCCATGTGCAGAGGTGGAAATGACGGCCTGCAGAAATTGCCCTCGATAGCTTTGGCGAGCGACCAGAATGAACGAGTTCCTGAAGGAAGGCGCTCCAGCCTCTCACCAATTCTACCGATGTGCTGCGACTTGGCACCCGCAATAGCTCTTTTGAAGGACTTGGAGGCAAAGTTATACTCCTTTTTTAGTGCACTGGTATTTACATCCCGTGCCACCGCCGCATCGACCCAGGCTTGGTAGGCCTCCTGCTTTCTGCGTGAGGCCTTTCTGGTAGAAGCATCAAACCAGGGCCGATATCTGCCACCGACGGGGACCAGAGAAGATGGGACGAAAAGCTCCATCCCCTGCAGCACCACATCAGCAACAGAATTGGCAGCGGCGTTGGGATCATCCTGCAAGAAGCAAGCCCGCCTCCAAGGGTAGGATGCAAAAAAGGACCGCATCCCATCCCAATCTGCCGACCTATAGTGCCATACACGGCGACCGCGTACCTCTTGTAGTCGCGGTGTGCACGTCCAAGATACAGAGCTCCGGACAAGGCAATGATCCGATGAGCCAAGAGGGGCTTCGACGGATACGCTGTAGCCGTCCGGGTGAGAGGTCAGCAGAAGGTCCAACAGTGAAGACCTCTGGCCTTCCACATCCGGGATTCGCGTGGGCACGGTCACCAGTTGTGTTAGGCCAGAAGCAAGAGCCAAGTCGTGGACAGATCTCCCCGCGTGGTCAGTCTTACTGGAGCAGAGCCAGTCGGCGTGATGGGCGTTGAAGTCGCCAAGCAAGACCACTTCCGCTGAGGATATCTGCCCCTGCACAAGATCTACAGCCGTCTGGATGTGGTCCATGAGTCGGTCAGTCTCGCTATCACCGCTATGGGACCTATATAGGCACGCGTAGACACGGGGGTGGTCGTCGTTATCTACACGCAGCCATAAGGTGGACAGGTCCCTACCTTCAAGATTACTGAGGCGACGTGAGCTGATATCGTCCCTGATGTACACGCACACCCCGGCCCTAGGCAGGAAGGAATGTTCCAGTCCATACCCAGGGTAGGTGAGGTAGGATGTGTCCAACGGAGACGATATCTGCGTCTCAGTCAAAAAGAGCAAGGCCGGCTTTGCTGTCTCTAGGTGGTGATGGACAGCATTGAGGTTGGTGTGTAATCCCCTTATGTTGCAGAAGTCCACATTCAGCGTGGCAAGGGGTGCCATGGTTATTCTGCTCTTGCCTCCAGCTTTATGATGCGCAGTTTTGCCCCCCCCAGAGTACGATGTGGGGCGGCCTGGACGTCCACGCTCAGGGTAGTTGAGTTCTGAAAATGGACGTCCAGAGAGGGATTCTCCAACGCAGTTGGTACCCTCCTGGGGTAGAAACTCTTGAATCAACTGCGACATTATGAGGGGGGGGGGGTTGGGCCTCCGGTACCCTCACTCACTCGGTGAAACACAGCGCAAGCGCTGTTTCACACCGGTTTTCTGTGAGGCCGTGGTATTACTCCGGTCGAGCCGGCCCATTCGTGCCGAAGCATGGCTCTCCCACGATAATCCCACTTATTAAGCTGCTTACAATTTTATTTCAGATGATTCCTGTGACCATATTCTATACAGATTTTAAATAAAATTGGAGTGTCTGTTTTTTTAATATTTTAAAATAACCGTTTTTTACTTTATGCATATAAATATACACACGATATACACACCAAAATATTTTTTTTGCAATTTTTGTCTGTTTGTACTGGCTAATCTCTGGAATGGCTATACCGATTTTGACGGGACTTTTATTGGCTGTGTTAGCTGTTGTACTAAGGAGTAACATAGGCTACTTTTATGTTGGAAAATTTAATAAAAATGTAAGTTATGTCTTTAACTTCATATTCTACGTGGACGAAGTCGTGGGCAGTTGGTCTAGTTACACAATATTTTGTTAAGGGCTTATGGCACATACTTTTTACCTATCAGTATATGTGGGTGGGCAACCTATCATAGTAATAGTAGTAGATAATAGTTACTGTACGCGCCTATTTCAATACGCATAGCAATTCGTCGTTAGATGATTTACGTCTAGTTAAATTATTTTTATATGACATTTATTTTTACAATCTTCAACAGCGGGTAGATTGTTGCTCCAGTCTATTCTACTACCGATTTCGAACAGTCACCATCTCTGCTTTTCTATGTCTCCAAAAATTATTGTAATACACATAATTCTAAAGTTCTTTTGAGTTTCACTAAAGAAATTCCATTCTTGTGCGTAAACAGTTACTTTTGGTATTTTAGTTTTTGAAGTCGTCATTTAGGTACTATTGTTGTGGCCATGGCAAAGTATCAAAGCTCACGATTCGTATACCCTGTATGGTATACGAGTGATATAATAAATAGTTTAAAAATTAAAGCCAGATTTCATAAACAATTCAAGAAATCCAAGTTGCATAGTGATTATATCAGATTTGCGGAGTATAGAACTTACATTAAAAAAAGTATAGAAATAGCACACAGAGAACACAGATACAAAATTCAATTTCAATTTAAAAAGGATCCAAAATCGTTTTGGCAATATATTAGGTCAAAAAAATCAACATTAAATAAGCATAGTATTGTAAGAGAAGGTCAACATTTAACGGATGATGAATGTGCGGAGCAGTTTGCAAATTTTTTTGAGTCGGTGTATAGCAAGGAGCCACCTGTACTGGACGCATGCGCGGCGTTAGCGGAGGCTGGCGCGACCAGTTCGCGGGTCCATATCGAGGCGCTAAGTCTGTCGGAGGTTCAGCAGGCGCTTGGAAATTTGAAACCGAAACGATCATCTGGTCCAGATGGTATTCCAGCGTTTCTATTTCGAGACTGCGGGAGGGTGCTGGCGGAGCCATTGCTACACATATTTAACACTTGTTTGGAACAGGCGAGGTTCCCCTCCAGGTGGAAGACCACGCGCGTTATTCCGGTTCCTAAAGGGAAAACAGGTCCTGATATTTGTAATTATAGACCGGTGGCGGTACTATCGACGCCTGCTAAAGTACTAGAGTCAGCTATTCAGCGTTCCGTGCAGGGGCAAGTGCGAGCATGTTTATCCGATGCGCAACATGGTTTCAGGCCGGGACGGAGCACTACAACTAACTTACTCAACTTTATGGTGCAGGTGGTGCCGTCAGTTGACTCTGGAGTTCAGGTGGATGCCGCGTACTTTGATTTTCGAAAGGCATTTGATACCGTTGATAATGATGTTTTACTGAGAAAGCTTGCGAAGGTTGGATGTACGTTGCCTCTACTACAATTTTTCGCTAGCTATATGAAGGATCGCCAACAGTATGTAGATTACAACGGATATGAATCTCATCCGTACTATACTAGGTCGGGCGTGAGCCAGGGTAGCAATGTAGGGCCTCTTGAGTTCATCATAATGATAAATGACTTACCGGAAGTTGTCAGGCATGGGAGTTGTTTATTGTTTGCAGATGACCTGAAGTTGCTACTCAAGGTTGAAGATAGCTCGGATTGTGAACGCCTGCAGGATGATATTAATCGAGTGGTTGAATGGAGTAATGTCAACAGACTTCACTTTAACGTGGACAAGTGCTCGGTGATGTCATTTACTCGTGCTAGGGCTCCTTTGTGGCATCAATACAGGGTGAAAGGCGAGCCGATGCAACGAGTCTCACAGGTACGAGATTTAGGGGTAGTCTTCACTCCAGAACTGACATTTCGTGAACACATCAATAAGATCTGTAGGAAGGCATACAGGAACCTGGGCTTTGTACTCAGACAAACTCAGGGGTTCACCAACATCACGACACTCAGGGTACTGTATGACACATTAGTGCGGAGTCACCTCGAGCACAGTGCAGTTATATGGGCACCGCACGAGGCGAAATACAGCGTCATGTTGGAACGTGTTCAAAATAAATTTACAAGGCACTTGTATTTCAAACTTTATGGAGTTTATCCATTTTACCCCCTGATGTACCCTACTCTATTTGTTCTGGGTATGGTAGGGTACAACGAGCTAAGGGTGCGGAGGGACTTTGCGTTGGTAGCGTATGTGGTGAAGCTGCTGCGCGGCGTAGCGCATAATCCGGGGGTGCTGCGACACCTGCAGCTATGTGTGCCGGACCGTTATGTGTGGAAGAGGAGACGCCCGCCTCTCCTCGCTGTGCCGGCAGCCAGAACCAACTTACTAGCTAGGGCTCCTCTCACTAGAGCTATGAGAGTAGTGAACGAAGTCCATGAAAGGGTGGATGTATTGTGTTGCAATGTGAGTGAATTCGTAAAAGTTACGTTGTATATATTATGTTATTCAAATGTTAATTAAGATTATTATTTCATTTCTTTTTTTTTTTATTATTGTTATTTAGTAAGTAGTTCACCGTTGATCTCGTGACCATAAAGTCGTCAGTATTATCTCTTTTTTTATGGATAAATGTTAAGATTAATTAAGTTTGTGTATGCATATGTATTAGTAATTAGGCACATAGATTTAGTTTTAGACCTAAGCTATCGCAATGGAGAAAACTGTAATGATAGTTTTAGGTAAGGTTTTAAATAAATAAATAAATAAAAAAATAAATAAATAAATTATTATTTTTAACACATTATGATTAATTTCTGTGATATGTAGCGTAGCTACTTAAGTAAAAAGAAAAGGAATGTATGATACTTTAGAAAGGGAATTAAGTAAAAAACTTTTTAAAATAAAACTATGTTCAAAATGCCCTTTAGTTTTTTTTAATTAACTCGTCGAGTACCGTCAATACAGACACAATTATAGAACAATAGGTTGCGGTCACCGGTGACCGCTTGGTGTTTGACAGTTTAATTAAGAAGTTGAAACAAATAACAGAAATTAAATAAAAAAAAAAAAAATTTGGAAACTTGTAAGGAATTTTATTGAAATCATTTCTAGAAGTATGCAACATTTGTAGTAAGATGGAATAAGATTTAACAGACTTTGGAGAATTACAACATAATTTGTTTTAGATACACAATCAAATAAGTTACTTTGAGTAAAAAAATAATAAACACATTAAATCAACCGTGACACTTGAGACGAAGGGTTTCTGGGTATCGAACTCCCTAAAAAAATTGTGGGTCTATGCGCCAACCATCCTGTAGAACCTCCATGACGATAATTACATTAGGTTAGGTTAGGTGAATTCTGAAATAATTATTGTCTAGTAATAATTGACTACAATTTCTTACTAGACAACCTACAATTTAGGTAAGATATGTGCATCTAATGTATTAAGAATATCGTTTTGTTATGTAGCTTAAGTGTCAAAAATGTCACATTTTTCAAAACAGGTTAACCCCCTCTTACTCTCAACCTTTGTAACGACTACATCTACTTCGTGATTTTTTTAATAATTGCAGTAATTACCAAGGCGTTATTAATTTATTTACACAATTATATCGGAAGGTCCGGTAAACCTTAGCACAAATGTAGGTATTATCATTTCTTTTCGAAAATCATTAGTTTTGGAATGTAGAGCTAACAGTCCCTTCGTGGTAATTTTTTATTACCCACTTTGAAGTAAATTCATTGTAGTAATTCATTTAATATAGTCATAGTTTGCTATAAGTCATAATTAATTTGAGCGCCTTGTATTTATGTTGAAGCAACAGTTAGGTAGCGATGAAACGTATTGCAATTGTGATTATAACATGCAGGAGAAATTTTTCATTATCATCATGATTTACCTATAATGGCTTTAGCGAAATAATGACTTTTCACTTTTGAATTCCCTGATAAAATAATGTTTCCTATTCATGTCACCTGCTACATTTAGTTTGCTCAACTTGTTTATTCTATCTTAGAATATATTCTCTCTAGCAAGTAGTTCAACAAAAGATATCAAATGAAGTCTATTAAAAATGAAATAAATTTATTTCTTTAGAAATGTGCATAAATCACAGTTCTTACATAATTATTGAAGCAACAGTTGCATTTTGAATTACCCAAGTAAAAGTTGTGAGGCAAAGAACTATCAAAATGCAAAAGCTACTTCACAAAATCAGTTTATATAGTTACATACATATGTTTTTAATTTAGGTACATCATTTTAATTGCGTGATTTAAGGTCATAGCGGCATTTGCAACATACTGGGATGTTAGCTGTAGCGACCTCTATTTTATTCTCTTCTTGATTTAACACAACAAAGTTGAACTTTGACTTGACGCTTACGCATTCAACATCAAACTTGTCGAAAGTTCTTGATGCCATGAAGTGTCGCGTGTCGTTTGTGACCTTTCCTTCATTGCTGGAAGAAGAATATGAAAATTGAATAAATAAGATATTACCCAACAGGAATATATTAGTACTTATATATTTAAGTATAAATGTATTGTTCTCTGTCTGTATACATGTATTATTAAAGAAAGTACGTTGTTTACGCAGTTATTCCATATGTTATGTGTTAGTTAGCTTCATATGTCAGCGTGTATTTAGTGGACAGTACAGTGTGGACTAAACTAATGGTTGTATCAGAAATAATAAAGTGTAAATACTTACACGCACCACCTGACGTTGTACCTCTGTGGGAACTTGTCAGGTATCTGCACTACAACCCTGACGGCGTCGTTTTCATCCACAATGTAGTAGATGGGACCATCCTGAAAACATTAAACATTGATATTTTGGAAGCCATTTTGGAAAAATCTTTGAACACAAAAATGTCTCGCCAATGCATGTTGATTAACTCGTCGAGTACCGTCATTATAGACACAATTATAGAACAATAGGTTGCGGTCACCGGTGACCGCTTGGTGTTTGACAGTTTAAGTACCTACATATATCATCTGTAGATTTTGACATCTGATTTTAAAGTCAGTCAGTGCTTTTATTATTGTAATGTTAAAAGTTGTAAAAATATTGTGAGATTGTTTGTTAAAATTACAATCAAGTACATCAATGTCACTGTTGAATTTACTTAATAAATACATATATAGCCGATATACCTATTCTATACTTACATTTGATTTTGACGGACAATCCGGTTCGTCAATCTCACTTCCTTTGCGTGTACCGATACGGTTCTGGCTTTCAAAGTTCAAATCCTACAAAAACACAAACATTAGAATGTAAGGGATTAGTTTATAAGGTCTAAGAAAAAATAAACATTACTTTACAATATTTAGAAATATCACTTTTGCCTTGAAATGAGTTATTAAAAAATTTAATCCGATTTCTCTGAGTTAATCGTACGTACAAATACATAAATGCACCTTATGTACACACTACACGCAGCTATATTATAGGTAGTCTTTCTTGAAAACAGTTAAGATCATCACAACAACAATCCAAAAATTATTTATTTTTGTATTTATAAAAATAACTTTTTCTTACCAATTTCTGAATTACATCATCAGGATAATTATCACCTTTCTCAAAACAATACGATTGTCCTATGCAGGCATCCGGCATTTGATCTGAAATAAAGCATTTTAAAATTAAAATATCATTATATCGACTGACGGTGATTTGAAGAAATTAGATATTAGGTAAACAAAACCTATTTATTTATTTGTTTCATTGTTAGAAGTAATAATCACAATTTTTCATTACTTGGATGAAGTTAAATGAACTGTCCAATTAGGTACATACACATATTATATCTCTATTCAAGTACCTAATTGATAATCCAATTAAAAATACGCTATAAATATAAAAGATAACTTGAAGACATGAATAATAATATACTAATTTACTTACATTTGAACATGCTTCTTGAATCGACCAATAATTCGCCATCAACACTCATTGACACTGTATTTGCGCTTATGTGAATTGCCATAATAACCTGAAACAAAATGTTGTAAAACTGAGTTTTTTATTCTTGAATAACCAAGTTTCTAAAAACTGAATTGTTTAGAATAACATGATTGATGACAATTCAAGTCAACAAAGATTATAAGCAAACAAATCATTGTTTGAGGATGTATATACGTACAGTTAGATCTCACAACACAATATTTATGCTTTTGGGTTTTTCTAGACAGCCATTTTGTATAGGTAAGCATTGTGAAATAAATTACTGAATTATTTTGGGTAAAACTCACCACAACAACTGAAGCAAAAGAACGAGGAAGATTCGCCATTTTTTTATACTAAAATGTACTTTTCAGTTAATTTTAGGGAATAAGGTTAGTCTAGACGTTATGTTAGCCAACGGTGTTCAACGACTGAAGCTTTATGTGTCAGTGGTATGTTTTGCAATATTGGCTTCATTTATAATACAGCAGCCGCGACGATTATGAGGAAAATGTTCAATAATCCATAAAATAATAAATTATACCGTTTTCCGCTTGACATAATTATTATACATATTTACAAATTATATTTACGAGTGACGATAGAAATTCTAATAAACATGTTTATTGTGTGTAATACTCGTAATATAATACGCTAAGAAAATTGACAAAAAAAGAGCACGCAGCCTATTGTAAACAAGAACCATAGCAAACAATCAAAAAATTACTTCGATTATGCGCCCAATGCAAGCTTATTAATACAATTTATAAGAATCTGAAAGGATAAATGCAAAGAAAGAAAGAACGAGAGACCTGACCTATCTGTTTCTATTTTGACATCATTGACTCTCAGAACAGCCTGTACAATATATATTTCAAACAACTACAATATTCTTTGACTCACCATAATAATATCTGCGCATTATCCTCTTACGACATATATCCCCGTTATTCCATTTATTATGAGGATTTATCAAATCACGTCATTCAGTGCACGTCATAGGAAATCCATACGTAAGGGTACAACAAGTACAAGTAATTTATTTCAATTTTGGTTCATCATAGTAACAGATGCCTAACGCCTATTCAAAGGACAACATTTTTTAACTTTTCTGAGATGAAATCTTTTGCCTTCGTAGAGGATGACTTCCTTTACAGTCCTTTACAGCTTTTATTACCTCTTTGTACATATTTTACTAGTTTCTGTCAGCAACTTCATTCATACAAATAAGTGATTCCCGTTTTACCATCCCAGTGGGAGTTTAGGGAAGTCCCCTTTTGGTCCCTTGTTAGTGCTCCCCTAGACTGCCTAAAGAACATTTATGTCAAGTTTCAGCTTCTTAGGTACAGTAGCTTTGGGTGTGCGTCGTCTGTCAGTCAGTAACACAGTAATGGAAGAGCTTCATATAGGTAATAAAATTATAATATAGATTAATATTCAAAAATATATGAGTTCCTTGTTACAAATAATAATTATCTATTGACTAAATCATCTCTCAATCTATCCCTAGATTAAAAAATGATTTATTTCGGTTTTCAATGTCAATTTTAATTCAGGTATTAAAATACATACTTAAGGCATGTTTGAATTCTGAACATTATGTAAGTACAGAGAATATAGACGTTATAGAATATACATAATCTAATATAAGTTCAAAAGAAATGTTTCAAACTCTTGCACTATAAGATGAAAGTGTTCATTTCAGATTATTTCTTACGAATATTGTATGTACTTGTATTACCCAGCTATTCTTGTACTTCAAAAAGTGTTTATTAATCTTCATTAATCATCAGTCAATCTATACTTAATGATCATCAAATATTACGTTCATAGTCTTCTATAGAGGAGTCGCGGAGAACCTAACGGGTTACCGGGGCTCCATGTGCAGGAGAAGGAACGGGGTGGTTTTTAGTCAGTAAGAATCTTACACTCCCTCCCGCTTCACCCAGGCGGGAGCAGGCATTCGATGATTTTCCCCCCTTAAAAAAAGTCTTCTTTAAAATCAAGTTAGTTTCTAATAAAGCGCACGGATTTTAGTTTAAAACAGACTGACTTTTCAACGGTAGGTAAGTAAACAGAGCTTGAACTAGATGGCTCTACTTGTACCATTTTTAATATTTAGTAACGATTAAAACAAAACCGCTTAACTAAATAATCTAAGAAATTAATATTTTATGTAATTTCTAGCCCATAATTCGCGATAAATTAAAGTTTTATTTCGGATTATTTTCTGAATATCGTTCTTTTGTAAACTTAAAATTTTCTGTCAATGTTTGCAAAATGACTGGAAACTACATAGTGACTGCGCCTAGATTACAAAGGCGAGAAAATTAACGGTGAAATGGGGTGAATAGGGATAGAGAGGTGAATCGATACTATGAAGAATTTCCCAATATCTATTCATCCCTCTTCTGTCTCTATTCACCTCTCGATCCCTATCCACTTCTTTTTACGGTACGACGAATGGACGTTTGCAGCGAAAATATTTTTGATATTAGAAGGTGTGTATGTCCATAAACAGGAATCGGCTGATACAAGTTATATTGATGATAAAACAGTAAAGGCTGCGTTAAACTCAACAAGACAAATTTATTCATCTACATAAATAAACATAACTTCACATAAAAAAATGAGCAAACAGTTTAAACGTTTGAAGTCTCTTTATGACGATTCTGGCACCACGCGTCGTATCAGCTTACTTGGAAGATATTGTGACTCAAGGGAAGCCTTCGTTACAAAAATGGTGGATACTGCACAGAAATTAAAAGGTACATAAGTACACATGGCTTGAACTAGATGGCGCCACTTGTAGCGTTTTTAATATCAAATTATAATAAAAACAGTAGTTTCTAACCCTACACTTTAATTTTACACTTAAGGATTCGCATCTGACGAAAGATGCGGCGAGCGTAGCCTGCATCGGTCGCTCGCTTTTTATGCTGTAGTTCGTATCGCATATTATGCTGTAGTGCGCAGGACGTAGCGCGTTGCTCGTAGCGCGATATTCGTTTTGCATAGTTCATATTAATTTCATACACCGATATTACATTTTAGTCAAAATATTTGGCTTTGCGGTTTAGTTTATTTTGGGCCTTAACTTAAAAAATGTTCAATGTTTATTACTTTGTGAAAAATGGCCAGGACACGCATTTGCCATTTTGACTAAGATGTTTTCTAAACTCTTTCCGTGCTGCCGACTCGCCAATTGAGTCCATGGATTTTTGGGTATAGGATAGGTAGTAGTTAGATATTCTGACTTTCGAAATACTCAATAATAGCATACTCTAAAAATCATACAGTCGTCCAATAAAGACGGCTAGACATGGCAATCGTGCGGAGTGTGAGAGGGGAGACGCGGGTAAGCCGATCCCGAACTGTGAAGAAAACGATGTTAGTAGTTTGGGATATATTATCGCGTGTTTGTTTTTATCGGCTTAAAAAAAGGAGGAGGTACTGTATTTAAATGATTGTTTTTTTTCTATGTATGTTCACCGATTTATCAACCTTTTGTGGACCGATTTTCAAAACTTCTTTTATTTGAAAGGTTACACTTCCGAGATGGTCCCGTTGTCACCAGGTCAGGATTCAGAATTCAGTGATAGGATCCCAGGTAACCTGAGGGGAACTTTTAAAAGTTATAGGGACAACTGGTACGTTTGTTAATGTTTTCAATTGGTATTTAAAATCAGTCCAATTTTACATAGGTCTGTAGTCGATCTGATGATGGAGCCGATGCGGTACTCTCTAGACAATGTCGGCATTTACACAAGATCAAAGGCGTCGACCTACTGTATGATTTTTATACTGTGATTATAGCATGGAGCCTACAATTACGCTCACTTTTAAATAAATCAAACCATTTATTCTTCCCTTCTTCTGTCTGAGAGTTACCGTTACAAGAAACTCAGGATCGATTATCACACCTTTTGTCCTCGAAGAGGTGACCAAAGGCACGTTACGGCACTTAATGCCACTGTACAATGTAACAGCCACTTTTCACTGCCTATTTATTTTATGAGTCCCATGTAAAGTGGGGTAAGCCTAATGCCATATACCGGGCACAATTCCAGACTCCATGCCACTACTGAGATTTTTTTTTAAATTCTGTTTCTCTTTGCCCGAGACCCCTTGCCGAATAATACGCTAATAATACGCTCTGAGGTGCTTTAGTGATAGTAAATAAAAGAAATACAAATGTTATTAGATGGGTCAAAAACTAAAATTAACACTAGATAATTTATTTAGAGGAATTATTTTATGATTTGGTACTTGATAGATGACTATCTAAATTCCATACTTATTTCAAACTGTCAAATTCGTTATGTTTCTATGAGTTTTGTACGAGGGTGTGTGTTGTGACGTCATGTTTTTTAGCGTCAAATAACACACCTACTTATTTTTAATGCACATTCGTATCGTCACCATATAATAATATTGATTTCATATATTTTAATCAATTCACGAAATAAGTACAGACTTATTTTATATTGAATCGTAATTGAATTTGGTTAACATAATAATAAAAGATACATTATGATAATTCAGTCCTTTATATTTATAACTTACGATTTGTATAATAATTAACTTATTATTATTTATTGAATACAATTAAACTAGCATATAATTTACACGATAGGCATCTGGTATCTAGTGTCGAACATGTTGTTTAAATTAGTAAACAACTTAAATGGTTATTGCAGAATTTTCTTCGTATGGTATTGACATTTGCAGCAAACTGGAATACCATCAATAGTCTTCACAACTTTGTACGTTAGTTCATCAAATTCTTCTACCAACACTATGAAATCCAAATCCAAACGCGTTGTGACACATTCAACTTGGAATTTTTTCAATCTTTTTGATTCAGGGTAGAAATGGCGCGTATTCTGAGTTATATATCCTTCATTCCTGAAATATTATAATAAATTGTCAAAAAAACATGAAATGATGAAAACAAATGTTTTGGTAGCAATAACCAGCATTATAAATTAAATACTTACAGACACCATCTGGTACTGTAGAGTTGCTCAAACCTGTTGGGAGACTGAATCACTGGTCTGACTATTCCCGATTCATCGAAAATGTAGTAAATAGGTTGATCCTGTAAAGAAATAAAAACATTCTTTTAATTTCTTAAACTATGAAGTGAGCCCATTGTTTTTGGTTATAATCATTTACTAGCTCTACATGTCGCAACCGTTTAATTACTGGTTTATTTTATGATCTGTTAAATAAATTACATCTTTTAACAATCTTAGTAGCAAGATCTTTTGGGATTGTAGTTCCAACCCAACTCATTGTTCTGGTGATCACTCGGTTCATTCTTTATTTACGTAATAGCCTATATAACACAAATGTATAGCTATTTAATAAAAGTGGTTGATTTGTTTTTTTTTTTATTTTTTTTTTTAAAACGTTGCCCTACACTAGGATTTTCTCCTGTGTCGTGGGTGCGTTTACAAACATACAAGTTCAAATACACAACGACACCCAGACCCGGAACAAGAATTTGTGGATCACACAAAGTGTTGTTCCGTGCGGGAATCGAACCCGCGATACGTTGCACGGCAGCCGGTTGCCCAGCCACCGCACCAACATATTGGAGTCAGCAATAATTTAGTTCACAATATAGAAAGATGCTCGAAGGTCTTTTTTCCATAACATATCCGTAAATAAAACAATAATACTTACAACATATGTGGTGTTTGCTGGACAATCCGCATTACCATTCTCTTTATCTCCATCTCGGAAACTAAAGCCTATCCTTGAACCCAGATCTTTCTGTAAAATTTAATGTTTATTTTATAGGGAAAGTATTTAAGATTATTATTTATTAATTATTAAAAAATCTAAAACCTTGCAATATTTTTTTGCATATTGAGATTTGAACTCAAAATGCTTTGTTTAGAAGTTGGTTATCCATTTTCTTGGAGTAAAGATGGTCATCATATTGCTATTATATTGTTCTTTAACGTTCTTAAATATCTCAGAGTTAAAAATGTTATTCTTACCTGTAAAGGGAACGTTTGTAAGAATTTTTCGATCTTCTCTTCAGGATAGTTATCACCCTTTTCGAAACAGAAAGTCTGGTCTTTGCATGCTGCAGGCATCTCAACTGTAAGTTGTAAAAAAGTCGATTGTTATTATTCGGAATTATTTCATCACTTCCATTAAAAGAAGTATATTCCTTTTCTACATACGGATCATTAAATAATTTGAGTTTACGTAAACAAAATTATCATATTATTAACTTTTTGTTGTGAATAAGTGTTGCAAAAATATTACACAGTTATTATGCTGAATTATTTGGTTTTGGAAGTGAAACCAGCACTACTAATATATATTAATATAGGTACTAGTAATGGATATTAATATACCCTATTACAGTTCGTCAATTGTATGCGCCTGTGTCTGTTTACCTCTTGAAGGCATAGCAGATAGCGTAACGTTATGTTTATTGGGAACGAGCAAGAAAAGTTATAGGTACTTACGATTGTCAAGAGGGTTGCCTTTGGTGGTGATTAATTTACCGTCGCTGTCGAGCGGATTACCCTTTGATTTTGAAAAGCTTAGGAGCACAGCGATCTGTAAACGATACAAGTAATAAATTACGAGATCAAAAATAAATAAAATGGAAGAAAAAATAAATAAGTAAAAGATAGTATTTCCATAGGCCTACTCACTAAATAAGCTGAAACGGAAAATCGGCACATTTTGAATTGTTTAAATGAAGAGTAGGCGCAGAGTATAGGAGTGATCAATTCAACTTTTATACTGATATTAATTTTTTGGATATATTAATTCGTTTCACAACCAGTTCGTTTAGTGAATAGATGACAAGTGTACTTCAACGTCAATTGTAGGACCATTATATACGCGGTTTGGTACTCCACAACAGGAGGAAAATTATTTACCATGAAATACTTAATACCATTTAACCTCATCATAGTATTATTAATATTATGTGTATTATTGTGCAAGGTATTTTCCCAGGTATATCCAAAAGCTGCGACCAGTTGCAAATAAACATACATTTGCACCCAGTACCAAAAAATTTTGTAGACCTAACCTAGAGGTATTTCTAATGTATTGACTGACATTTTTATTTTTTGTTCTGGATCTGGGTATATCGTATAAGCAAAATGATAGTATATATGTATAGTATTGTTTTTTACTTTAGTACTTTTGATTTGACAATTTATCATGATAGCAACAATTTTTTAGTAATTTATTGAATTGTAAATTTAAAATATGTAAATAATATTTGACTGAAGGACCTATCTAATTATGATGTTTAGTCGTTGGAATGACTAGATTCCTGTTTATACATACATACATAACATCACGCCTTTTATCTCTGAAGGGGTAGGCAGAGGTGTACATTATGCCACTGTACAATGTTTTTGT